ACAACGTGAATTTAAGAGGCTAGGCAGTGCAAAACACTCCCAAGCGTACACGAAAGTGAAAAAAAGAAAAGCAACAGCGTGATTACTTCGTGCCCACAAAAGCGACGTCAAACCACAAAGCCAAGCCATGGATGTAACCGGCCTGTTCGAGAATGAAGTCAAATGGAATGTCGATTTGGTGTAGATCTGATTCTGACGAGGTAACGAAGTCTACGGTCCACTTCTTACTTGTCGCCGACAGTACGCCGACGTGAAATGTGTCCTACAGAAACAGAAAAAGTATAGAATCAACAAAATCTCTAAAAAAAAACAGGAGTGGCTTTCGATCTGCTCACTTGAGGTGCTTCTAATTAAACTAAATTTTACGATAAATGGCGATGGATCTGGTTTTCTTTCTCTATCCCGATTATATCTACACTGAATAAGAAACAACGTCACGGCATGATGTCCATCCAAACAACTGACGCCAACGTACTCAAGAAACCTTCATGAACAACAAACCGCTGCTCAGCACGCCCAAGGGATGACATCAGTCTACATGGTAAAATGGACTTGATGCTTGAGATTGGGATGCTTGATTCATCAACTAGAATAACTACTGACGGCAGAGTGTGGCTATACATCCTTGTCCTCCAAAATTTCGATATTTTATTTGGTACTTTCTCTGGCAGGGCAACCTGGTAACATTTTGAATGATAAACGCGACCAGAAATGACAAATAATGTTAAGTTTTTCGATGCACTCAGAAAAAATTTCAGAAGCAACAAAACAGCTAAATAAAATGGGAAATTCTCATGAAGGAGCAGTAACAAAAGCGGTCCAGCTGTACCATGAAACTCACCACGATCGGTTGTCGAAAATACTCTTTCAGTGCCTGTTCACGAAGTACGGCCAGGTTCACACCATGAAAGCACTCTTGGGCCCTAAACACGTGCGTTACACTGCGGCCAAAAGTAAATTTAAAATTGTGGTATCAAACAGAATTTTCGGGTTCATTACGTTGGTGGAAACTGGATCAGTTTTCACCATATAATACAAAATATTATTATATGCAGGATTTTACCCATATAAAAAGCTACAACGATTTAAACGATTCATTATTCAAATAAATCATAAATTCAAGGCAAATTTTAATAACTGACTCAACATAGGTACTCTGTGGTCTGTATCAGTATAATGCAACGTTTTACGTCTGGCCGTGAAGGCAGATCGAGCATAATCCGAAATGGAGAATTTGTAACAGTTATTTTTATATATGGAATCACCCCACGAAGCACCTGCCCGATTATTAACAACCAAATATAACCAAATTTAGTAGTAGGCATTCTAATGAGTCAATAAGAAATAGCAAAAAACTGACTGTGACCATCAATTCGTCAAATATAAATGGTCAATTTGTCATATGTGGCGAGAGGTGAAGAGGTTGAACCAACAGTATACTCACCAAAAATTCGCCTTCGAGCTCTGCTCCAAGTAAAGCTGTTCATCGGAAAACGGAGCAAAATGCAAATCACCTCGGGATGGATACATTTTACCTAAAGTAGCAAGCTTTCGCCTACAGAATCATGCAAATAATTCGTCGATCATACGTTATACAACGACGCAAAATACGCTTCTGATTATCAGAATGAACGGTCAAACAACAACGTTTAAGCAAACACAGAAAACAGACGCACAAGCCACGCACATTCGTACATTTAACATTACGAAGTAGCGGGCGATAAAAAGACTTTTCAGAACCTATAAAAAAATTACTTAAAAAATTCCCATGAATCAAACCTTATTTCCCAAATAATATGAACTAATTTCTTAGGCAGCAGAAGCGAGCAGCCTTCAACCGACAACTTAGAAATAATAAAATAATTTTAGCTTTCCCACGCCACGTCGGCGAAAGACAGCTAACACTTAGTCCATTACATATGTTAATGGCATGATATACGACG